TTGTCAAATCTTAAAAATAAGTCCTGATAACACTGTAAATTACAGATCTGTAATATTGTTTTGCTAAAATGAAAATGTAGGATTAATTTTACTTAGGTTGGCCATAAGCAAGTTGCATAGCTCTCTGAGACTAAATAGAAAATATATTACCTCTAACACAGGATTGTCATGTGGATTTAGAGAGAGAAGGCATGTGAAGAATTTATCATAGTGTAGGTACCTGGAAAACATTAAGGCCTTTAAACTGTTTTTTTTTTTAAATCACATTAAACTGATTTCATCAATTTAGACTGTTTTTTAAAAAATCTTTGTCTTAAGGAAGCATTTTTTTCTCCTTAAAATGAAATCCAGTTCTTATCTTTATTAAAAGGCACTCTATAAACACAATTAGACTATGTTAAGCTATGAGTTTGGCTCTAGATAAAATTAGATATATTTTCTCACATAACAAATAATACCAAGGGTAAACCAGGTCTGCCAACCCCAGTTGAATGTAGGACTCCCCCTAAAGTCTCAGATTGCTGTTGTAACTCAAGGCATGGCTCTTCCTTGCATATTCTTTTTTTTTTTTTTTTTTTTTTTTTTTTTTTTTTTTTTTTTTTTGAGACAGAGTCTCATCCTGTCACCCAGGCTGGAGTGCAGTGGCACAATCTTGGATCACTGCAACCTCAGCCTCCCGGGTTCAAAGAATTCTCCTGCCTCAGCCTCCCAAGTAGCTGGGATTACAGGCATGCACCACTGCACCCAGCTATTCCTTGAATATTTTAAAGTAATAAACATTTCTAGAGAATTATTTCCCACCCAAGGATACTTTTTTCTCTTTTCTCATTGCACAGCTAGGTTACATCCACCTTTCTAATATAGTCACTGGCAAGAGGAGAGCTTACTAGAATTGGCTTACACTAATGGTTCTCAAACTATGGTGAATCAGAAATACCTCAAGGACTTGTTAAACCCACAGCTTCTGGGCTCGAGCTCTGAGCTTCAGATTCAGTAGGTCTTGAATGAAGTTCCCAAGTGATGCCATTGCTGCTGCTTTGGATAGGACTTATTGAAAATATACTTTGACAAATACATATGTATCTCTTAGGCCTGAGAATAAGTTGACATTCTCTGAGCAAATGGTCAAGCCATAGAACATGAAAGCCAGGGCTCTGCTTATACAAATGGCATATGACTGGGGTAGAATTTGTGTTGACAAACAAAGATGCTTTCCTTCCTTCCTTCATTCATTTATTTGTTTGTTCATTTCTTCCTCTTTCCTTTTTTCTTGTATGAACACTGAAGTCTGTTTACTCCTTTTAAATCATTCTAAGTAAATTTTACAAACCTAATGACAAAGCATTAATGATATAAGAAATAATTTTGCTAAAGCACAAAGGTATGTAAGTAATTGTAACGAGTTGCATAATTTCGGAAAGAAAGCCACCGTCTTACAAAGTTATAACTTTTCCATTAAGCTCTAGATTATTTGTGCAGCAAATTCTTTACTTTATGTCTGACAGAAGAAGAAAGATCTTTTTTTAAATGTTCCATTGTTGTTCCAAATAATAGAATTGTGCTCCCTAATACATGTTTCTTTGTAAAAGAATAATGTATAGAACTTGACATTTGAAAATTGTATTCTGAAGAGAAGAAATGAGAAATCTGTTTGCATTTTAAATGTGATGTGTGGCATAATTCAGTAAAACTCAGTGATGTTGCATAAACGACAGTATTACTGTGAAGCTATTGAAGTGACAGGGCAAGCTTACCCAGACAGCCAGTTTGAATGCCCTGTCTAGCTGCCCAATCCAAATCTGTCTGTCTCCAGCTGGCTGTTGGCATTATTCAGGTTTAAATATCAATGGCTGTGATTTTGACTCCTATGGAAGGAATGGGCAGGATTTGCAGGACAGAAACTAAAAATCTCTTCTGCATTTGACCCTCATGTTTTCAGTGGATACTAGAAGGTGGACATTCTTGGGACAGGCAATAGTTGGTAGGCACTGGGGGGGGCACATCTTCCATTCCAAATCCTAGCTTCCCAAGAGTGAGGACCAGCATTTTCTCTGCTGTGTCCTGCCTTGCATCCACACCCTCACCCCACCTCTTTGGGACTTTGGAATGCTGGAATTCGCAGAGGCCAAGAGCCTGTGACTTATCAATTGTGTCAGATTAAAAGTTGCTTTATATCAGCTTTTTTCCTCTAATACCATACACTTCACACAGTTTTACCTTTTTCTTTAACAGTTTGGAGATTTTCTCTATATCAATATATAAAAGGCTAACGTATTATATATTTCATGGTTTTTCTTAAATTTAATCATGCCCATTTCACAGACATTTAGTTTCCAATATTCATTGTAAACAACAAAACAATGCTGCAATAAATATTCTCATAATCACAACATTTCACACAATTATGCTTATATCTGTGGAATACATTCTTAAAAATAGAATGGCTGGGTCTGGCTTTATGTGCATTTTTAATTTAAAAAGTTGCAATCTACCCATCTGACAAAGGGCTAATATCCAGAATCTACAAAGAACTAAAACAGATATACAAGAAAAAAAGCAAACAAACCCATTCAAAAGTGGGTGAAGGATATGAACGGACACTTTTCAAAAGAAGACATCTATGAGGCCAACAAACGTATGAAAAAATGTGCATCATCACTGGTCATTAGAGAAATGCAAATCAAAACCACATTGAGATATCATCTCACACCAGTTAAAATGGCAATCATTTAAAAATCAGGAGACAACAGATGCTGGAGAGAATATGGAGAAATAGGAAGACTCTTACAGTGTTGGTGGGAGTGTAAATTAGTTCAACCATTGTGGAAGACAGTGTGGCTGTTTCTCAAGGATCTAGAAATAGAAATTCCATTTGACCTAGCAATACCATTACTGGGTATATATCCAAAGGACTATAAATCATTCTATTATAAAGGCACATGCACATGTATGTTCATTGCAGTCCTGTGTATGATAGCAAAGACCTGTAACCAACCCAAATGCCCATCAATAATAGACTGGACAAAGAAAATATGGCACATATACACCATGGAATGCTATGCAGCCATAAAAACCAATGAGTTCATATCCTTTGTAGGGACATGGATGACCCTGGAAACCATCATTCTCAGCAAACTGACACAAGAATAGAAAATCAAATACCACATGTTCTCACTCATAGGCAGGTGCTGAACAATGAGAACACATGGACACAGTGAGAGGAGCATCACACACTGGGGGTAGTGGGGAGGATGGGGGAGGGACAGCAGCAGGGGGAGGGTGGGGAGGGATAACAGGGGGAGAAATGCCGGATATAGATGAAGGGGGAATAAAGGCAGCAAGCCACCTGGTCATGTATGCACCTAGGCAACAACCCTACATGACCTGCACGTGCACCCCAGAACCTAAAGTAAAATAAATTTTTTTTAAATTACTGTTTTTTTCCATGAACAAATCCATATTTCTCTTTATTTTACTGGCATATTATCTTACGACACTTACCCTTGGCCAGTCTGAAGACATGATAAATAATATCTTGATTTCTTAATTAAGTTTTTAATTTTTGATACAGATTCATATGCAGTTATAGAAAATAACGCAGAGAGATCTGAAGATCCCTTACATAGTTTCTCCCAATGGTATTATCCTGGAAAAGTATATGATAGCACAGCTAGCATACTGAAGTCTACACAGTCAAAACAGAGAACATTCTCACCACGAGGTTCCCTTTATAGCTACCCTCACATCAACTTTAACCCCCTCCTGCCCTGTCCTTCACCCTGGCAGTCACTATAATTTTCTATAATATCTATAATTTTATTAGGTCAAATATGTTACATAAGTTGGAATAGATACCCCCCACCCCGAATTTGAGAGAAGCTGAATATGTTTTATTTGTTACATGCAAATCACATACTTGTTATGATTGAATTTATCATTTTGTGATTTCACAATTTGGGATCCTACTTAAGAAGACTTCCCCTACTTGATGATTAAAAGAAAAGCACCACATCCACATTTTTTTCTAGTATTTTTCAATATTTTATGGCTATTTTTTACTTTTGGATCTTGAATTCTTCATTAGTGTTACTAATGGCTTGAGACGTGAAAAAAATCCACTTTCCATTTCTACCTAGATGTCCTAAGATAATTACCTATGCATTTTTAATGTTTGCCTTTTTGTGACTTTTGTATGTAAAGTAAGATGACAGTGCATTTTAGCAAATCAAAGTAATATCCTTGGAGTTTCCTACAGTATTATAACATTAGAAGGAGCCAGTTTTTATAAAACTATAAAACTTTTCTTTATAGTTTTAATAAAGACATTTTCTATAATGATGGTACTATTAATTTTACACTGTAAATTTTAACCAAAAATGAGAAACAGTATTAATAATCTGAAGATAATTACTGTAACCTGTTAATTTATGTAGTATATGGTGTTAACTATAACAAGATTGATTTGTAATCTAATCATTTTTTGATAGTTTAATATATTTCTTATCCATGATGGGTCCTTACTGTAAGTTTCTGAGCCTGATTCATGTGATTTCAGAAGGGGTTGCAGATAACAACATGACTACAGCATCACAAAACCTATTTTCTTCAGAAAATAATTAAATCATATAGTGCGCTAACTTTTAGCATCTGCTGAGTTACTAGATAAACAGGATAAACAGCTCTTTTTGCATTTATATTGTTTTATTCTTTACTTATGGCTATATGATTTCCTTTTGGGGAAAGGTTATATAAAAACTACTTTTGTGCAAGGTGCAAAATCGATCAAAACAACATAAAGAGTGTATTGTATCTTAGTAAAATCTTTCATTTATAGTCATATCAAATTGTAGTATTTGATTACAGAAATGTAGAATTCCAAACGCAGACGATGGCTCATCTAATTTCTTCCTAAAATGTTCTTTTGTCAAAAGAAGTTGCCATTCTTCTGATTTTTGTCAGAGTAGACTGTAAATAATGTCATTTTTGTTTTCCTTTAAAAGGAATTGTTGACCCTTCAACATGCCTACTATAAACTAAGCAGACAATACCAGGCAAAGATTGCAGAACTGACTCATGCAAACAACCGAGTGGATCAAAACGAGGAAGAAGTAAAGAAACTAAGATTACGAGTGGAAGAACTAAAACAGGGACTCAAGCAAAAAGATGATGAGGTACTACTTTATTAGTGAACACATACTGGGGAGCTTCTATAGAGTCTTTCAGAGCACATAAAATGATTGTCTCCCTTATTAACATATGGCAATAGTGGGAATATAAATCTTCATATTTTAATGACTAAAATAAATTTAAAAACAGTAAGGAAAGAAATAAGATTATGCAGATAGTGTGCACATTTGTGGTGCTAATTGTATATTATTTACTAGTGCTTCAATGTGATTCTGTGTGCGTGTGTGTGTGTTTAAATATGGGTGCAGTATCATTAAAGCTTGGGTGTTTTAAGATTTAAGCATCTATATCAAAAAAGTATGATATCTGTTATTTATTATGATATATATTATTTTCAGTGTTGTTTAATGTTCAAAAGAATGAAGGTACTTCATTTTGTTGTGTTAGGTCAACTCAATAATGGTTTATGGAATATTTTAGAAGTTCTTGGAAGATAGGTATCTTGGTGTAATATCTTAACAGCACACAGTTACAACTGTGGAGGTGATTTCAGCTGCAGTTACAAACAACAAAGATTTTAATTTTTTTTTTTTAAAGAAACACAGTCTCAAAGGTCACTGTGATTGTGGGACTGTCACCCTCAGTAGCATTCTTTCAGATGGTGCTCCAGTCAGTGTCTCTGGTCCTGTTGGACAATAATTCAGGCAAAGGCCATAATTCCCTGGTTAAAAAGACTGTTGTTATATAATGCAAAACAGTTGGAAATAAAAAATAAATAAATAGCTGAATTATTTTCCATAGAGTAATTTAATAATCAAGCATACTCCCCATTTTGAGAATTTTTTTAAAAGAAACAATTCTAATCAAGCAAACTGGATTTTCTTCTGTAATAACATCACATGAAAACAAAATCAATCATTCCACAAATGAGGCTCACGCACTGTCTGTGCTTGCTAGTGACTCTTGGCAGGCGTTTCATCTTTGCAATGTCTCTTTTTAGGAATATATATATGTGTGTGTGTGTGTGTGTGTGTGTGTGTGTGTGTGTGTGTATACTTGTAGTGATATTCACGTGGAAGTGTAAGTTGGAAGGGGAATATAGTAGGAAGGCTCAAGAATGTGATTTTAGGTTTTTTGTTGTATTGTAGCCATTATTTTTGTGAATAATTTTAACAGGCAAGTATTTGTTGTAGGGGGTGGGGTGGTGGTGATAGTGGAATATTTTTGTCGATATAAGCTTTAAGAGATCACCCGGAACTAAATTATTGGCAAGGAAATAATTTCTTCTGGGCTTCGTGGACCAATGAAGTGCTAGTCCCCAAAGATCTGATTCACAGTGTAATTGTGCAATTTAAATAATGAGCCATGGTCTAAAGGAAGATAACATTATTTGCTCCTCCATGTAGGATTAAATTTCCCACATCATCAATGTCAGGCTTGATCATGTGATACTTGCTTTATCTGTGCCTTATGAGAAGGAGCTGTGCATGCCAGTGTCTCCAGAAGCTTTGAGAGCCAATTTTCTGCTGTGTTTCTTTATTTTAATACACTTTTTCTCTCATGTCTCATGTCCTGAGGCCACCATGTCCAAAACATGAATTATTCTCTCAGCAATCCTGAAATAAAGAGGACATAAAGCTAAGCCTTTGCTGACCGAAAACGGAATCTCTATGGGTAGAAATTTGAAATTGTTCGTTGCTACAAAAACAAAACAAAACAAAACAAAAACCTAGTTGAAGCTGACTGGTAAGGTGGTTAAAATAATAAAAGAAAAACTAATCTTAAAATAGATGACATTGCTCTAATACCAGAACACCTCTAATGAAAACACTATGCAGATTTTTCGAAGGACTGAAAATAGAACCCCCATTTTATCCAGCAATCCTACTCCTGGATATTTACCCAAAGGAAAAAAATATATATCAAAAAGACACGCACTTGTATGTTTATTACAACACTATTCATAATAGCAGCCATATAGAATCAAACTCAATGGATTGGACCCATCAGTGAAGGAGTGGATTGAAAATATGATATATACTATTGAGCCACGAACAAGAATGAAATAATGTCTTTCAACATCATAGATGAAACTAGAGGCCATTATTTTAACTGAAAGCACTCAGACACAGAAAGACAAATACCACAAATTCTCACTTACAAGGTGGAGATAAATTATGTGTACATGGAGGTAGAGAATGGAATGACAGACAACAGATGATAAGAAATTGCTTGAAGGGTAACATGTCCATTATTCCCATGATGGATATACTGAAAATCCTGATTTCACCACTGTGCAATATATCCATGTAACAATATTACACTTGTATCACATACATTTATACAAATTAAAAAAGAAATACTTTCATAAAATAAAAAGAAGTAGATGGTCAGAAAATATATTGAAGTCTGAAATCATGGAATCTACGGAGTGATGAAACATTTGATACATTAGTTTCCTATAATGCATTGGAAGGCCAGTAATGTACAGAGTGAGCTTGTGATTTTTAGGAGAAAAGATGTGAACTAATGTTACTTGTTTGCTATTGGTACATTTGGAAAATGCTTTTTAAAAAGGTGAACTCAGAAAAGAATTATCCAGTTTTCAAAGAGGTATATAAGGTAATATAGAAATTTAAATCATTCTGTGACTTCCAGAGTTGTAAAACACATGATTTCCATTTCCAAAGGGTAAAATACAGAACTCAGGATGATTTTAAACAATAAATATCTATTAAAATTTAGTTTTATGACAAGGACCCAATCAAAGTTGTTTCCATCAAACAATGCTGAAGCTCTGAAATTTGTTAGTTTCCTGTGAATTATTTAAGCTGAACAAAATAGTGGAGGGAAAAGAGAATAAGATTGTGACTCTACCAGAACATCTCAGAATTCAAGGTAACTGTAAGTAGCTCAAAGATAGAGAAATGTTTCTAAAAGGATTACTGATGTGCATGTTGACCTATGAAATGTATTGGAATCAAATAGAAAAGAAAAGATTAGTAATGAATGTTATACTGGTAAGTGAGCTTCTAGTCTGGGCTAAAGGAGACTAATATTCTCCAGATTAACATAACCCTTTGTTCTTTCAAACTTCCATGGGAATGAGGCCGGCTGAGCATGCTCTCAACTCCCTGTGAGAGAATGTCCTCCAATGGCAAATTAAGATATGGCCACAGTATCTAATAAAACTAGCAGGATCATCTAGAGAACAGAGCCAAGGACCACAGTAAGTGTAGACCAGGCAGCTATTTTGAGGGAGCAGAACCTAGGCCAAATGCAGGAACATTCCCCATGGCAGTACAGGTGCCTTTGCAGCATCTACCAAGTAGATTCCATAAATGTTTTCTATTTCCACTTTCTATGTGGAAGCATTTATAGAAAATTTTCTGTCCTACTTTTACTATAGTATACTGGGCAAGCACATGTGTGTGTGGTGGGGTGTACTTGCTTTTTTAGTACATAGATCTCTAGAGCCAGAACAGACATATATATCAAGATCCAGTATGGAAGATAATCATGAATTTTTTTTTTGATGCATTCAAAATTTATTTGAAGGAGAATATTTAGCTTTTTGCATCTTCCTATAAGTAATTACATTTTTAAATATCCGTGGGCACTCCAGAGAACTACTGAGTTCTTGAACTTTGAGGCTAATGCTGTGTTTGGAACGTTGGCTTAGGTACCTTGGTAAGGGGGTAAAAAGTTTCAAGTGATGAAGGTAAAAACACAGTTTGTGACCAAGTGAGTGGCCTATGTTATACTGCATGTGAATGTATGTGTGTGTGTGTGTGTGTGTGTGTGTGTGTGTGTGTGTATGTGTGAATATTGCTGTTCCTTTCTGTGAGAGGAATATATTTCCCCAGCATGAATGGAGACCTGGTCCTATGACTTCTTTGGCAAATGGGATTTGTGCTGTTTTCCCACAGAATCTTCAGGAATCATAGTATCATACGGAGAAGTAATAGGGTATATTTCACATTCGAAGTCTAGCAGTAAGTGTATTAAAATATATGTTTAACATACAAAACTTTATAATATTCTGTACCTATAATTGAATCAATTGATTGTCGGGAACGGTTGGGACAACATGTCTGCCGGGGATCTCTCGACCGGCAAGAGGGTCCCAAAACCTGGAAGAGAGTGTGCGCTTATAGAAACAAAGGGAGACAGAAAGTGCGGGGGTCTGGAGGGCTGTATAGGCCATGCCTAAAACAGCAAATTTATTTTTCAAAAGGCCAGGAATAAATACACTTTCTTTGCTCTGGTTTACGTCATTGCAAGAGGAAATGCAAATCTACACCTTACATGGCCTATGCAATAGAGAAGTCAGATACACAATCAGTGGTGGTAAAAAGTAATAGAATTTCCTGTGATCACAAAGCTTATTTACATCCAGACATTATTCCTCATGGCTGCAGGTATTTTTGGTTTGATCTTGTTTTAGGACTCACATGTGAAAAGGTTTTCTGGTTTTCCTCATCAGAATATCTTTTAACCAGATTCTCCTTTGTCTGCTCCTGACTCAACTTATCTCAACTCCCCCTATTCAGGAGTCTCTGAGTCAGGGATCAAAGCCATCCATATAGTGGCATTTGCTTTGCAAATATCCCCACAGTTAAACCATTATCTAGGGTACAAGGCAGTCATGCAAGTAAAGAAAAGGTTAAAGCTATTCTTAAAGAAAGAGTCATAAAAGTTAAAAGCAGAAACTGGTTGCTGGTATGGAGTCGCTTGGTCTAGCAGCACCACATAGTTTAGGCCCAAATGATATCATGGTTAATGTTAGAAACTGATCAGTCATCTTTCAGTTCCTTCTTTCCGATAGCTCGACTGCCTCCAGTAGGAAACTGTGTTTGGGCTCAAACTGACCGTATAGTGAGACCCATGCCTTTTGGGGGTCTTACACAGGAATGTCCCCCACAATTGATTATCATAGAAGACTGACCCAAAGCACCATTAATTCACATGCATATTATAATCTGTATTATCTGGTTGCAGTTGTAGTGTAATCAGTTTTTCTCTGATTAAAGGTCATCACTGT